TAAGCGGAAATTTCATCCCCGATTATACCCAACTGCCCAGGATATAACTATTACATAAAAATACTATCTTTTTTATTATGAATATTATATGAGTGTCGCAAAAAGAAACCCGACAATTTAAATATAGTCTATATTTAAATTGTCGGGTTTTCTTTTGGTGACACTCATATATATATATTAAATATAAAATGTGGCATATTGTGCCACGTGTGGTGCTAGTTGTTAATTACATTCTAAACTATAAGATTGAAGTTTTATTTCATAAAACGCGAGCTACAAATACACTCTTTTGCATAGGTCGAATGATGGCAAATTGGTACAAATCGTGTATCTGATTTTAAATTATTACTCGACATCAATCGGGTAGTAATCGGTAATAATCAGATATCCGATTTGCCATCAAAGTTTCACGAATTTAAATATTTTAGTTATCAAATATCCTTTTTTATTTGACATTTGTAATTCCAAATTCATTTTTTTCAAATACACATTTTAAGGTTCTACCACAAAATCCCGAAAGCCATTTTCCCTAAAAAACATAATACCGACTAAATTGGCAGCATTATAACTAATGCTGGCTAACTTTGCTGGTATTAGGTCCTTTCAGGAATCTGTCATTCGGGAATTTGTGATAAAAGCACATTTTAATTGCACACTAATGATAAAGATTTGCGAACTTAAAGTCTTATTTGGCATTCGTAATTCCAAATTCGAGAAATATGTTAATTATTATTTTTAATCACCATAATGGTTATTCAGCACCTGATTCGTATAAAATATATTTCAAATTGAGCGATCTTTAAATTAGTAGTTTTGCAGATCAGTATAGTATAGATGAATAATATAGGCATTATATATATGAGCGTTCTATAATTTTGCTGATCCGTATAGCATAATTTTGAAAATTGGCCTATACTATACTGATCTGCTCACCTATACCATACTGATATGCTATAATTTCTCTTTAAATCCTATTTTTTTTATTTTTATTTTTTAATTAAAGTTTATAAATTCAAAGCATAAATGAGAATTTTCGAAATTATTTAATTTTGAAACCCCTAAATGATAAAGATTTGCAACTTAAATAAGTAATTGACTAATGAACGTTCTTGTATGTTTTCTTAAATTATGCTTATTAATACAGTAATACAGTAATAAATGATGCCTGATATGCTTACTCGATCTAGATTAATGCGAATTATGATGTAAATAATATATAATGTTGTGTCTGATATACTTACTCGATCAAGATTAATGTGAAATTAAGATATAAATGTTGTGTCTGATATACTTACTCGATCTAGATTAATGCGAAATTAAGATGTAAATAATACAGCCAGACCTCTCTAAGTGCACCCTCTATAAGTGCACACCCTCTCTAAATGCACATTCAAGTGCTGGCCCAAATATAAATTTGACCTCTATAAATGCACATTTTCTTATTATTTTTCTATATGCACGTTATTAAAGTGTGATCCCAAGTATAGATGGGAGCCTAAATTATTTTTGGCTTGCCGTAATAAAAATTGCCGAAAATATTTTAGGCAGCCTAAACCGTAAATAATTTCGGCAGCCGAAAATATTTCCGGTTGCCTAAATAATTTCGGCTGCCTAAAATATCGTACCATTCCGAAATTAAACACCCCGAGCACCACCAAATTTTGTATGATTTCCGAAAATAAGCATCCCCTAAGTATAATCGTATCGGATTTTTTATTGAACAAGTCTATTATCTGTTTGTTTCTAAGTAAGATATTCTCCAGGTCAAGACGATTCTAATGGTGGTAAAATTATCAAAATTGATTCAGTAGAACTTTTACAATTACTCTTTAAAGTTCAGGCAACATTTACTTACATGACTACAGATCATGTAAGCAAATGTAAACAAACGTCGACTGAATTTTGAAGAGAAATTACTAAAGTTTTCCTGGATCACTTTTGGCGATTTTACCATCGTTAGAATCGTCTTGACCTGTAGAATATCTTTGTTTAGAAATAATAGGAAGGTTTACTTAGCACAAAATCCAGTATCATTAATTTTTAAAATTATATCCGAAAATAAGCATCCCGTATAACAAAAAAAGGTGCTTAATTTCGGAATGGTACGATAATTTCGAGTGCCGAAATTATTTTTTGCCGTCATTGTGCGTAAATTTAACTGACAATATTTTCAAGTTTTTTTTGATTACTATATATTGCTTCATACTTACTATTTTTTTTTTTTTTTTTTATATAGCCTTGATCTAATTCTTTCGCTTATCTCGGATGCATATTCGCCTTTGGTATATACATTTTGCCTAAGAATTTTTGGGCTTGCCGAGAATTATGAAATATTTTAAAGCGATGAAACATTTAAAATGATAATATTTATTTTATTGTCTAGTACTAGATAATGCCTAACACTGTATGTCAGGAGCCCATATAATTAACAACGCATCTATGTACTGACATGTCTTTATTACACTGAAGTACAAGATTATAAACGCGTGCGGGATGGGTAAAAGTTTTCTAAATTACTGCTTCGATACTATTGGATCGGTTCTGAGAAGATCAGTTAAGGACCGGTCTTTTTAACCGGTTATATGGTCGGAATTTTAGCCAGTTCAGACCGGTTAAGAATAAACTATTACAGCTGTTTTCATTAATTTTGGGACATCTGGTAAAAAATTGACCGAATGAATATTTGGCCGATTCGATAAGTTTTTGATAAACTTTTGATTTGAGCATAATTAGTAATTTTGCGATTGTATTCTGAAAGATACTACAATGTCAACACATCCAAAATTAATTTTTCGCTTGAATGTAGGTCCTGTCTTGTCAAGCAACAGACTTGACTAAAAAGGGTTCTGAATATAAAATAAGCTTTCATAATAAATATATTACACAGGGAGGCATTAATAAAAAAAAAAGGTCGATATGAATAAGAATTTATTGACCGGACTAAAGAAAATATAATTCAAGCTATAATTCCAAACAACCAAGTTTTTATACTGCATTGAAAATTAAAAACAAAATCATAGTAAAAGTCTATAAAAGTATTTATTTATTTATGTAATACTGTAATATAAATTATAATGAATTTTTAAAATATAGAGCAAAAAGCAAATCGGTATGAATCAATGAAAATATTGAAACGGTTAATCTAACAACTAAGGAACCTCTAGCTTGTTCGTCTATAGTAACTATTTTAAAAATGCCTAGTTTATCTGAAAAAATTGCTATTGAATTTGAAATATCCGACTTGTCTGAAGTAGCGCAAAAATAGTGACATCGATATATATTATCTCTAAGCACATCACTCATTACCGAAATCAAAAACTTATCGGATCGGCCAAATAATCATTCGATTAATGTAAAATAAACTTAAAAAAAAAGCTATAAATAAACTTGTAAATAGTTAAAAACCATTATAGTATGGATTTTATTTCGATGATCACACATGAAAATAGCTTATCTTAGACCGGGGACTGGACCGAACTGAACCATAGATATTATTGGGACCGAGACGGACCGGACCGATGTTTTTATAATCGAAATGCATCAAAAACGTAATATTTATCTCATCTTACGTAGAGATTGAGTTCTCCACTACGCTCTGGACATTTATGGTTTATAATAATTAAAAATATATGCAATTATCTATAAAGATCATCTAAAGGGCTTTAGGTAGCGCACTCACAAAAATTGTTCGACCTGTAATTCTTAACCAATCAAAATTAAGATCAGATGTAACGTGAAAGTCAAAACATACTATATAGATACATATAAGAAGTTGCATGTAAAATTAAAGCCAATAAACCACGTTATGGTTAGGATTAGAGTTAGAACAACGCGGTTTCTATTAGCAAAATTTCACAAAAAGCATCCTTAATTAGGCCGGAGAAGTGTTTCCTAATTAAAATTTAAAGCTATTGTTTTTTTTTGTTTTTTTTTGCTTTTCGATTTGCCAAAATTAAGAGGTAGGCACTTAGGGTGCGATTTTGCCGTAATAATTGTGTTTATTTTTTTCGGCAACAGAAATAATATCGGCAGCTGAAATATTTACGGCATTACGGCAGCCGAAAATAATTTCGGCATTTTAAAGTGGCCGTAATGCCGTAAATCCTTCCGAATTTAGGCTAATCCCAAGGAGGATGTGCACTTAGAGAGATCTGGCTGTATATAATGGTGTGTATCGAAAATCTTATTTAAAATATGTATATGTTGTAAGTGGAAACGGATTCAGAATTTTTATATAAAACTCTCATTTTAGGGTTGATATTATCATATGAACACCCATACTCTAACCCTAATTTAACTAAGAAATTCCGAATCCACTTAAATTCCGTTCCTATTTACAACGGATGCATCAAAAAGGTAACTATTTTGGTCAAAATGCATCAAAAAAGTAACCTTTGCATGTACATTAATAGCCTGTCACGCATTTACTAATTTCCCCCAGAGTTTCTATTGGCCATCGGTAAATCGCGTTTTTTATTGGACGCAATCGTCGATCATTAATAACGTGATATTACTGATCATCTACAGCCAATCACATTTCCACTTTGCGATTAAAAAAAAATTAAAGTTTTTTTTAGATGCGATTTTATTGCTCTTCGCTGAGTCTTATTTAATTAAAAACTTGTCATATTTTCTACTAATTAGAAATTAGATCAAGCTGAAATCGAAAGGTTCTACTGTCTGATCATGCTAATAGACGCTCAAAATGAAAAATGTAGTCGGCTTTCTCTATACTAGACCCAGAAGCTTGTTAGTAAGATAAGTAAAGTTTATTAATAAAATTTAAATGATGTTAAATGAAGAATTTATTAAGTATTCGATATTGCTTATATTTGATTATTTATTTAGAAAACACGAACATTAAATATAATCTTTATTAAAAAAAATTTAACTGCATAACTTTACATATAAAATAAGATATTGATTTTATTTCCATTATCTTAGTAAGAAAAATTTTAATAAATTCTTAAAAAAAAAAAAAAAAAGATTTTGTAAGTCTTTTAGTTTACAATTATTTGATAATCTTTTGCCTTCAATTCATAGATCATTGGCAGCGTTAATTTCATCGTTTGATCGATTCTGACAATTCCCCACTTATGAAAAATATAGTAAGTTTGAACAGCTGCAGTAGCATAATATCGGGAAAGTTTCTTTGTACAGGATGGTCTTTCATCTGGTGGCATGTTTTCTAGTATATCTCCCAAATAATAGGCGTACCATAATAATGCTTTTCTATTTCCCATTCTTTTGGATTGGTGAAGGAATTGTTTAGTAACCTCAACTTGGATTTGGTAACTTTGTAATGAATCATAAGGGGAGCAGTATTACTAATTGGATTGTTATTATTAGGGTCTAATAGTTCGGCCATAACCTTCTCATATAGATTTGTCATAGGTATTAAATATTTATTGAGTGTGAAGATGTTGAAGATATCGAATATTGTTTTTAATGTCAAGATAAAATTGGGTTTGGATATTAAAGAAAGCAAAGAAAGGTATTTATTTATTTTTTTGAACTATTCAATTATTGTCAGTAATTTTTTGTTCTATTATCGTGCAGTTGTATGCTTCGTTAGGAATATATATTATCTAAATTATCATATTTTTTTACCTACCAAAATTCATAGTTAACAAATTACTTACTGAATTTGAATTATTTAATTCATTCCTTGTTTTTTATCATGCATTTGTATGCATCGTTAGGAATATACGTATCTATTTAATTTACCCCTTTTAATTTTTGTTGTTATAATTCATGGCAAATTAATTGCTAGTGAATTCGAATTATTTAGTGTATTAAACAGTTTAGTAATTTGGTGAAATTTTTATAATTAATTAATTACTTTTCCTAAAATATTTAGGTACATTTCTATAGTAAGAAAGGCCACTGCTAACATAAAATGGACTTAGCTATTTGAGTAAAGTTTATGGCTTCTAGAATGCATCTGCTATTAAATGGTCTCCTTAGGAATTAATACTAGTCGATCATATCTTTTTCTTTACTAATTTCTTTTTCTTTGGAATATTACTATTTTAAGAGCAGCGAAATATGCATTGTATTAAGGTCCCTTAAAGATATTCGCCAGTTATATGCCTCGAGGCATTCTCTCTTTATACTTTTTTTTTTTCTAATTTTATTTATTTATTTAATTTAATTTAATTTAATTTTATTTTATTTTATTTTATATTTGTATTTTAAAACTTGATACACTTTTGCATTCATTAAACATTATGAAAATTAAACTGGGTATGATATATGTTCGAAATTTGGTAAATAATTTTATTATATATATATATATTTATATTGTATAACATATTAATATCTATTCTGTTTTTTGATACCCGTATTTGGTGGTTATTACTAACTACGGTATTAACCCTTGCAACTCTCACCCTTTCCATTTGAATAGCTTGCCTAAGTGTTAATCTTAAGCTGCGGATATCTTGACTCTCCTTTCCTCTCCACTCTTCAGCAATTGACGCAAGCTCTTCCTGTAATTTTGTAAATTCAAAATTCTCATCTCCTAGAGGTTCAATAGAGTTGAGAGAATTAGAAGATTCCTCCACATTGAGATTATCAGGTTGTTGTGCAAGATAATTGTATTCGTAACTACTTTCTATTACATTATCGACATTAATACGAAGCTTGTTAAGTATAGCAAAAATATGTTTACACGGCAATTGCCATATTTTGAAATCACGACAATTGCAAATATATGAGGATATGTCTAAATTATCTGTGTTGCCAACCATAGAGTCTTTCCTTCGAACAGAATATTCCACATCGTCATTTGTTATGGAATGTACAACCCAAACATCAGGACCGACACTATAAATATCATTTGGATTAATCTTTGTAGTTCCTGTAATCTCTCAAATTCGCTGCTGATGCCTCCGTGGATTTATTCTTCCAACTTTCAATTCATCTATAAAAGCTGAAAATTCCAAGTCTCGAAGTACAATTTCTACAAGCAAATATACTTCTCCGTCAAGTCGTCATCCTGGTCGCCCCCTCATATAAACATATTTCAGCTTGCGATAGAATGCTTCAATTAAGTTATTGGTATTAATCATGTCTCTGGAAATTCCTCTCAAGCATATCATCCATTTGTCATATTTTGGCTTCCACCAACGCTCGAAGTAATCAGCAAAGGTGTTCGCCATTCCAACATTGAATTTTTGCCACCTGTAAATAAGAAGGGCAAAAAAAAGTTTAGATTGCTTTTTTTTCACCATTTTAAATTAGGTGATAATTAAAGCCGAATAGATAAAATATAGTATAGATGACACTTTAAATTAAATGATTATTTATTAAAGTGTCAGCTATACTATATTTTATCTATCCAGCTTTAATCGTCGCCTGTTTTTAATTAAAATCGATCAGGGCGGCCCCAAAAAGTGCAGGTCGATGGCATAGCCGCAGCATAAATAACCAATAGATGACAAGCCATAACTTGACTTTTTTTATTTTGAAGATATTAGTCAGTATAAGTGTTCATTAATGGTTTCAGTTGTGACTGCGCCATCGATCTGCACTTTTGGGGTATATGTAATTGGATATTAGGATTAATGATAACAGGAGCAAACGTCCAAATATAGATATGATTTCACTCTCCATTGCACAGATTACTCATTGTATCGACTAGTCAAAATATCACTATGGGATTTGTCAACCAATCAAATTGTGAAATTTACAAAAAGACGAGGCCATGGGATTCAAGGGGATTCAAAAAATATGTTGCAAAGCAAAGTGAGAGTTTCATGTTTGTTTAATCATTTTCAATATTCATAGAAAAGATAAGTCAAACAAGGCTTCCAAAAAAGTATTGTAAAATAATATAAAAAATTTTTTATCAATTGTGTAACAATTTTATGACATTCTGTTATTAATGATTGATACAATAATGACGACATTTGATTAATAATAATACATGCAATAATAATAATAACTATTTACTTCTTTCTTTAACATCATAGATTGAAAATTCAAAACTTGGTCGCCCTGGTCGATTCTTTATATAAAAAATTGGTTATCCCTACCTATCTATAACCTCAGTAACTTGTTTACTTGCCTTTGCATCATTTCATCCTTCTGTCTTCATTAGGCACCAAAGATCTCTCCAAATAGCTACTTTTTATTTATCAACACTTGAGCTAGAATTATAATTTAGCTTTCTGCGCCAGGACCTTAATACGTGAAAATGGCATAGCAGCACAGTACTATTAGGAAAACCTTCCTCAACTGCTTTTATTTCCTCACCCGCGTCATCAATCATAAAAATATCTGGATTCCATTTATTATTTTTAAGTTTCAAAAAATCAAACCATCTTTTTAATATTAATGATTTTTTATATTTACTGATTAAAAATGCAATAGGATATCCACTTCCAGCCGTAGGATGTCGTATGATTAATATGAAGAGGTGATAGCTATACTTATTCATTCCATGTGTGCTATCCAAGCATATTACTCGTGAATTTTGCATTAATTCCTTTTGTCTTTTGTTTGGAAGGCAAATAAGAAACCTGTATTAGTTTCATGCTCCGAATTGCCTTATTCGAACAAGCAACACCCATCCATGCCAACTATCTTATCCTTCCATTTATCCAAAGACTTTATTTCGTCCTCATTAAAGTAAGTGCATGTTTTCATTGCATCATGCACTATTGCATATATATCTTCTTTCGTTACTAATCCGTCCCGTAACTGTTGAATATTTTGTGCAGGTTCATTTTGTTGCTCTCTTTCTAATAAACGAACCTGGTCCTGAAGCTCAATTGCCCGGGAACATAAAAGCTGCTGAATACTAAAGGCATCGAGCCCCTCAAGTGCACGCTAATGAATGAACTGTCTAATATTTTCAGAGAGAGGAAGGGTATATAGATCCGACAGTTGGCCGGGGTAGTGATTGATATGTTTATAATAATGGCGCAAGACTACCGTTATTGAACCTACAGAAAGTGTAACATAAATATAACTTTTACAACCACATTTTTTTGTTTCCTTTTGTACTAAACGTGGTTTTTTTGTGGTATCTTTTCCAGCAGTACTTTTATATGTACCATACCGATGGCAATACCATCTCTCTAACCATTGATTTTTTTTTCTTGGGCCAATTTGTGCCTGACGATCATGTTTAATATAACTAAGCCCTGATTTCTCAAGATCTTTGATCCATTCTACATATTGATCAACTGGGAGATTATAAGTTTTGGATCTTTCTGTTTCCGAGGATCTTTCTTCTGTTGTATTATCGTCATCTACTGTCTCCCACATTTGACCAACACCATCTGTTGCATCAAGAATTCTGTCAAGCACATTATCAAGTTCGTTGTCACTTCCATCGCTAGTTTCCATATTTTCTTCTTCAATGTCAAAAATTGCATTGATACTTAATGGTAATGTCATTATTGAAAAAGGTTTTAAATAGATATAATCGGGGACGATTTGAATAAAGAGAAGTATTATTGTTTTATATTTTTATTTATTGAATTTTTTTTTAAAAAAGCATGATACAAATGAGAAATTTATTATTAAATAATAGATTTTATTTTACAGCTTGAACGAAAAATGCACCTTTAAGTATATTATTTGATTGTGACCTATTCTAGCCTATTACTTCTATTACGCTATTATTATCAACAACTTTATATATAGATGAAATATTAATTATTAGTCTCTTTTTCTCATTCAGTCAACTAAACCTTCGTCGCCATATTTTCATTATTCGCATTATTCGCCAAACTTACAAAATCTGGGCTATGTTGCATGCATGCAACTGCAAGTACTACGATCGAAGACTTTAGGCTTTAGTAGAGGTATGAAATGCATAGTATTGCAGTAATGTACTTTGAAAATCAAAATTATGAATTCTAAATTACTGATTTATTTTATGTATATGCATAGTGACAGGTTAGGTCTTTTCTTTATCAAATCGTATAGATAGTTGGATACTGAAATTATTAAATTATTTATTAGATACAGTCCGACCTCCCTAAATGCAATTCGTTGGAACACAAACTTTTGACATGTATTTAGAAGCAGTAGGGAAATTTGTATTTATAGGGGGCAGAAATATATTCGGCCAGAACTTGAGGTTGCATTTAGAGAAGTCTGACTGTACTATTGAGAAAAAATTAATAAACATTTAGTTTTATTTAATAACCGTATTGAATAATTCATAAGCAATAACAATTAAAATTAAAATTAAAATTTTAATGTTTAAATATAAATAACTTAGGTTTTTATTAGTTGCCCATTTTACTTTTATAACAAAATTCGAACGTATTAACGTATAGCTCAATTCCCGAATATAAATATGCATACAATAATGTAATAATTTGCGATTCATTTTTTATATCCCCACCAAGATTAATATACAATTAAGCGAGCCAGATTTAGCCGTACGGGGCACTAAATAACGGAAATATAAAGATTATATTTAATGTTCGTGTTTTCTAAATAAATAATCAAATATAAGCAATATCGAATACTTAATAAATTCTTCATTTAACATCATTTAAATTTTATTAATAAACTTTACTTATCTTACTAACAAGCTTCTGGGTCTAGTATAGAGAAAGCCGACTACATTTTTCATTTTGAGCGTCTATTAGCATGATCAGACAGTAGAACCTTTCGATTTCAGCTTGATCTAATTTCTAATTAGTAGAAAATATGACAAGTTTTTAATTAAATAAGACTCAGCGAAGAGCAATAAAATCGCATCTAAAAAAAACTTTAATTTTTTTTTAATCGCAAAGTGGAAATGTGATTGGCTGTAGATGATCAGTAATATCACGTTATTAATGATCGACGATTGCGTCCAATAAAAAACGCGATTTACCGATGGCCAATAGAAACTCTGGGATTAGTAAATGCGTCTGTCACTACGCTCCAGATAATCAGAAATGGATTTTTTATCAGAGTTAACAGGTTAAATATGGGGAACAAATAAGAAAAATACAGTATATAATTATAGAAATGAGATCCAAAATATATGCACAGTACGTCCGTACGCATGTACGTACAAAAGTAACACTACATCCGTATTTGTTTATTTATGACCGAACTTAAAGATAAGATTTCAAGCTTACTCAGCATGAAAACTGATCAATAAGCATTTGGAAATAAGTACCAGGTTGATGTGCCATTCTCCGAAGAATTGAAACAAGGATACATTATCACTGTTTTTGGTGCGATAATTAGATTTAATCATGAAGCTTAAATTTCCATAATAATTATGCCGAGAGGGGTTTAAACATATATATATATGTCATAAGGTAATGATCAATTTCACTGGTCACTTTAATTACATGATTAATGTTTTTCTTGGCTTGTTTAATTTATGGGGACAGGTTGCTAAGAGACGGGATGAAATTAACCAATCATTCAGCTTTAAACAGGCTAATGAAATTTCCCTTAAGATTTATATAATACGTACACCAATAACGATAATGTCGCTCCTGGATTTAGGTTGTTTGTGTTTCATTTAAATAAATCAGATTTCGCTAATTTAAATACTTTAAGAAGTTTATAAAAATACGATATTTTATCGCTATTAATAGGTAAACTGTCAAACTTTTCATTTTAACAAAATTCAAATAGAAATGGTTCGAAACAAAACAGGAATTAGAGTTCTGCCTTACTTAACACAATAAAAATTAACAAATGAAATATGAAAAAAAAAAGCAACCGATAAAAAACGATTTATAAAAACAATTTTTTTATAATCTGATATTATCGTTAATAACTGAAGCTATCCCGGCTTGCAAAAATTATTCGATAATTACATATTTACATCTGTTTTCCGAATGCTTTAAATGCTTTAACTGATAATTACTGTCAAAATTAATTACACAATTATTGTGGACTCAGATATATCAGTCTGAGTTTATCGAATTAAACGGAGTTTATTCTAACTGTTTACCCGTCAGCAGTGTTAAAAATTGCAAATAAAAATTGGGACAGGTAACGTCAATCTCTGAGTTTCAAACCCAATATCAGTATTCGAATTTCAAATATTAAATATAATAATAAAGTTTCGAAAAGAATTATAAAATTATTTCTGTTAACATTTTGCAGTATACATTATTTTTTTAACGGTTCTTTTTTTTTTTTATGTACTTGCAACTCTTTTCGAGTTTGTTCTAGCTGCTGTCATCGGGTATGACTTTTTTTTGCCTTTGGCCAATTTTCTTTTTGTTCATTAAACAGAAGTTGTCTGAAGTGAAATTTGGTCATATTACAAAAGTAATAAATGATAGAGATAGTGTAATGATTTTTTTATTAGTATATTGTGACTTTTCTATAATTATAAATAAAATTTTATGTTTCAATATTAAAATCGTCTTTGGTTTCAATAGCATTTTTACAACAGTATTATGCGTATGTAAATATAATATTATTCATGCTTAATAAAGGGTCGCAATTTTCAGGTTGGATCATTTTCATTCGAAATACTTAATTTATTATTATTATATTAATAATTAATTCGGAGGTCGGAGTTAACGTAGCCTGTCCCAGATTTTCTATTTGCTTAAAAATTCTGCACAAATATGTGAGCAAAAAATTTTATACAAGAATGTTTATTTTATTTTTTTTGTGCACATTGCACAATAATTGTTAATTTTTGTGCAGAAAAAAATATATACATAACGATAACGCTACAGATTCGGATAAGCCAAATTATTTGATTAACACTTTCGGCCGTGGGTATGCATGTGTGCCTAAATTTTTTTTGAAAAATCGTATTTTCGGCAAACATTTTGGCTTTGCTAAATTTTTTATATGAAACCCTTCAAAATAACTATATTATATGATGTATTTTGATGAAAAGTGTTCAAAAAATTTCGGCTAGAATTTCGGCAAATATGAAATTTAATTTCGGCTGCCTAAATGCCGTAATTACTTTTTTATTAAGATGGGCAATTTAGGCACCCATGGGGTGATCCTTTTTTTATTATTTCAATAACAACTTCGTAACACATAATAATAATATTATAACTATTACCAGATAACCGGACAATCTGAAATTAATCCCGACGTAGTCTGTAAGATAAGTTGATCAGTATATAAAGAACAACGATAATAAATTTGTTTATCTTTTACTCAATAACATTGTTTACATTTATTTTTTGTTAATTAAAATATTTATTATAGTGTAACGTTCAATTTTTTTTGTCAAAGTTAAAATCCCCGATTTTTGTACTCATATGCCAATAACCATACTAGGTACTTACGTATGTAATATGTAATGTAAGTATGTAGTGGTCAAAATTTACTAAATAAGTAAAATCATTTAGTAATAAAAAATAGAAAAATTATGAAAATGCTAATATCCGAAGAACATTAATTTATTGAAACACTTTTTTTTCGCATGTTGTTACAAGAATTTGTGTACTAGTTAAAACGTAAATCCGTGAACAGGAAAATCATATTTTAAATAGATTTCCTTTAAAACGGTTATAATAGCCACGCGGGTAATTTTATATGTAAAAAATAATCTATTTAACAAAGTTAATTCACCTTGCAACCAAATTATTTACGAAATTTTTTTTTTAAGTCAAGTCGAACTATTATATCTGATAAGTGAGTTTTGTTTGCATATTGTAAAATAAATATTCCCTAGATTTGGTATAAAGTTACAATACCGTACTTTGATTTTCCTTTAACCTTTTATATTAAAAAAATACTTTTATTCAATTCCATTATATAAAGATTTTAACGAACTCAGCAGAGTAATTTCAACTGAAAAATAATGAGTGTAGAAAATCATGAAAGTGAACATCCGCATATATCATTATCCGTGCCTGAAATGAAGCCACATTATGATGTGGTTGTTATCGGATCCGGATATGGTGGAGGTATCGCTGCATCACGTATGTCAAGAGCAGGAAAACGTGTTGCGTTATTAGAGAGAGGTTTGTTTGTTTTTTTTTTTTATTTATAAATTAATTATAATGTGAGGGTAAAATCAATGTAAAAAATTCAGACCTAAAGTCATTAAACACATATTACGATTCGTTTTTGTAAGTTCTCGATATAGTGAAGAGTTTGGATTACGATGTGATTTTTTCTTAGCTACATGACTTCGCTATATCGAGAGTGTGTTGCATTTAAAATACCGATACCAAAAATCATTCATGTGCGGAATGCACAAACGATAGTGATAATTTACTTTATCCGGCAGCTTACTATGATTTGTCTGCCCAATAATTTTATTATTGGGCAGAAACGAAGTTTAAAATAGTTTAAATCATTGTCCCTGCCCAATAATTTTATTATTGGGCAGAAAATTATAATAAACCACCGGATAAATCCGTTATCAGACATGCTGATACTACCTTATAACTTATTTATTTGGTCAAGGATTTAAGGTCAGCCTAAAAAATTGAATTCCTTCGGAATTCAATTTCTTAGTCTGATCTTAAAATCCTCGACCAAATAAACCAGTTATCAGGCAGTGCCTGCCTGATAACTTATTATTATTGCTCGGGTCTTATGTAGCTTTTTTCATTTACTTATTGGCACGGGATTGTACGTCAGACGCCGTGCAATTTATTATATGGGTTATAAAATAACTATAACGTATCGCTATTCTATCACTCAAAGTTAGTTGCTATCCATAGAGAAAAAAGTCAGAACCTCGATAAATTGAGCTCCATTGACTTCATTAAGGTTCTCTATCATTTCCAACTCTGCCTATCACTATACTTGCTGTAAACACTTTGTCCCAAATTCCAATTTTATTGTATTGGGATTGGGATTTTACTATGGTTTGGATTTGGGAGGATATTATTGTCGTCATTTTTACATCACATGTTTGTACTTATGTGTCACCTGACGGAGTCACCACACCAGGGATCCAATAATTAAAAGCCAATCATTCTCTGATCACATGATAAAAATTATATCTATTGAAAAATTGCTGAGCCACACATATTAATATCGAATTCTTTCATTGAGGATACCGGTCACATGATAAAGAATAAAATAAGTATATATATATAATTCTTACCTAAAAAAATATAATAATAATTTATATATAGGAAAAGAAAGATGGCCAGGAGAATATCCTACAAAAACTATTGATTGTTTTAAAGAAGTTCAATATGAATCTGGTGAAATCCAATCGGGTAAAAAAACCGGAATGTATCGTCTATATTATGGAGGTGATCAAGCTGCTGTCGTAGGTTGCGGGTAGGTGAAATTTATTAACTTTTATTATTATCTGCTATCGTTATTATTATCTAGTTAATTATATTTATTGATTTTAAATTTAAATCATATATTTAAATTAGACTTGGAGGAACTTCTCTCATAAATGCCAATGTTGCTCTTGAAGTTGATAAACGTGTTTGGGATATGTCCGTTTGGCCTGAAGAAATTCGTAAAGATAAAGAAGGCATAGAATTGGGTAGGAATTTATCTTTATTGACTTTATCATATTAGCTTAAATATTAGCTTAAAATTTATTACTAAACAATGTTATTTTTGAAATTTGTACATAATATAGGCTATAAACGAGCAAAAGAAATGCTTCAACCTGTACAATACCCTGAACATTTTCCGGAGCTCCATAAACTTAAAGTTTTAGAGGAACAAGCAAAAAGACTTGGTCCTGAATATGCTAAAAATTTTTATCGTCCTCCAATTACCGTGACTTTTGAAAATCGTGTTAATTCTGCTGGTGTTAGGCAATCAAAGTCAACACTTACTGGAAATGATGCCACTGGTGTTAACGATGGTAGTAAGAATAGCACATTAATGAATTATATTTCTGATGCATGGAATCATGGCTGTGAAATATTTTGCCAGATTGATGTTCGAAGAATTAAGAAAGATAAAGAAACCGGAAAATGGGTTGTGTTTTATGAGTGGTTAGAGGTAATTATAATATCAGATATGTGACTTTATAATTACCGTATAAGCGCGTAATAACGCGTATTTGCGCTTTATTTTGAGCATTATTTCGGGACGCACATGTGCGATATATCGAATCGTTTTTATATTAGAACATAATAACAAATTTATAGCATTAGCCATATATGCCAATCCAACTATGTTCGAGTCGCGTTATTTTAAAACGCGCATGGTGTTATTTTGAGTCAAATATGAGATTTTAGACTATATTTTATTATATTTACTATGTTATATTTATAACATATTATTTTAATTTGTTTAATAGGATGGACGTGAAGAATTTTCTAGTAACAGTCTTGGTTTATATTTTGTAACTGCAGACGTTGTTTTTCTTGCTGCTGGTACTCTTGGTTCAAATGAAATTTTGCTCAGATCAAAAAAGTTTGGTCTTGAAGTTAGCCAACAAGTGGGTGAGAAATATAGTGGAAATGGAGATGTAAGTATCATAAAAATCATTAGTTTATATTTAATTTTTTTTTTTTTTTTTGAATAATTATTATTATAAATAATTAATTGTTAATTTTTATTGTAGGTTTTAGGATTTGCTTACAACACAGATCTTAAATGTAATGGTAAGTCAGATTAATAAATTAATATATATTATTAATATATATATTGTACCTAAGATTTTATTTATTTTCAATTTATAGGGATTGCAATGGGTGATAATAGTCCTTTAAATTTCCCAAATGGTCCGGTTGGGCCTTGTATTACAGGAATAATTGATATGCGCCAATCTAGTGAATCTGTATATGATGGTTATGTTATCCAAGAAGGTGCATGTCCTGCACCTTTAGCCACGATGATGAGAAATTACCTTAAACTTTCCAATGTTGAAGATAGAAATAAACCAACCAATCTTACTTTTAGTGAAAGATTTTCTAAATTTTTAAGAGAAACTTCTTCTTCGAATTATCAAGGTGCAATGGCAAATACTCAATCTTATTTGGTAATGTCACATGATAATAACACTGGAAGAATACAATTGGTGAATGATAAAATTAATATTGAATTTGAAGGTGTTGGTGAAACGGAAATGATTAAAAAAGTGAATGATACTTTATCGCGTGCTAGCATAAATATTAATGGGGAATATATCTCTTCACCTGTTTGGAAAAAACTTTTGGGAAGTAAGTTAATTACTGTTCATCCACTTGGTGGATGTTGTATGAGCAAAGATGGCAAAACAGGTGTTGTAAACCACAAGGGACAGGTTTGTAGTTTATCAATTTTGAATTACTAAATTATATGTTATGTAAATTTTTAATACTGTATTATGCCTTTTTTTTTAGGTTTACACAGGCACAGGGACAACAGTTCATAAAGACCTTTATATATGTGATGGTTCTATATTTCCAACAGCACTTGCTGTCAATCCCCTCTTGACAATTAGTTGTTTGGCCGAGAGAAATGTGAAACTTGCTGCTAAAGACCGAGGTTGGGTAATTGATTATGAGCTTGTTAAGCAACCGATTGATTGGAAAAAACCTTTGAGAACATGGAATCTTGGAGTTACAGCACAAAGTGTCTCACTTAATGGTGGTATTCAGTTTACTGAATCTTTAAAAGGATATTTTTCTACTGAGATAGTGTCTGAGGATTATCAGGCTGCTGAAAGTAAGTTTGACTTAAGATAGCATTTGTAACTTAAATACAGTATAAAGCGTATTAATAATATATATATATATTAACATTTCTTTCAGTACAAGCAAAATCTTCAGAATCGACAATGCAACTTCTTTTAACTATAATCGCGTTTGATGCCAAAGCACTAGTTAGTATGGAAGACCATTCGGCGCTTATCACTGGCACTATGTGTTGTCGTGCTCTCTCACCCGATCCACTCATAGTAACCAAAGGAAAATTCCGACTTTTTATCACAGATGAAAGCCATGTTGATTCAAAAAAATTGATGTATAATTTGAATTTGTTATCTACGAATGGAAAAAAATATCGATTTGTTGGATTCAAGTTATTAAATAATACATCCTTCATTAATGAGTGGGCAGAAACAACGACAATATATATTACTATATATGAAAATAATAATGGTGATGAAAATGATTTGCTTGATGATGTAGATACAAGTCGAAAAGTACTAGGAAGAGGAATTTTATATGTCAGAATTTCTGATTTTAGAAAACAGCTTAATACTCTTATGGTATGTTAACTTGTCAAAAAAAAAGTTTAAATATAATCACATATGCTAATTCAAATTTCAATACATATTCTATTATCTAGGCAATCGGGTCTAGCGCAAGCCAAAGAACAAGTGCATTCTTGAAATTTTTATCATACTTTTCTGACGTGGCGGCCACTCATGCTTTTACGAGGTTTAGATCCTTGATGTATCCAAAGAAGCTTCCGTTCGCACAGCCATTTTATCATAAACCTAGGCCTGAAAAAGAAATGTATGTTACAGAATCCACTGATAAAGTTAAAACTTTGATTCATAGATTCAAAGGTGGGCCTAAAGGACCAGTACTTTTGGTAAGAAATTTTTTCAAACCATTCTCTTTTTCTATTATTATTCCAAACAATATTCTAATTAATACTGAATTGCAAATTTTGTATGTTAACTAGATCCATGGAGCTGCCATGTCTTATGAGATGTGGGCAACAAATTTGGTAGAACACACATTTTTGGACTATTTGTTAGAAAATGGATATGATGTGTGGTTGAATGATTCTCGATTATCCCCGACAAATGCTGAATGTTATAAACAATTTTCTCTGGATGCAGTAAGATTAGACCAAAAAGCCGCTATTGATCACATTCGAAAAATCACTGGGTGTGATAAAATTGCAGTGATCGCACATTGTCTTGGAAGCATTTCTACACTCATGGGACTTTTAGATGGGTCAATTGAAGGTGTTGGATCTTTAATTACGAGTCAAGTGGTAAGTACTATGATAAACTATTATATATACATTTATATTTATCTATTTATTTAATTAACCATATGTTATACAGTCAATTAACCCAACTAGCGGATTCGTAAACATAATTAAACGGATTTCCCAACTTCTTCCATTTTATCGTCATATACTTCGACAAGGCCTTTTTGATGTTAACACATCGCCTGATGCCAATCTTTTAAATCGTATCGTTGATCAAGGTCTTCGATTTTATCCATATCCAAAAAATCAACTCTGTAACAGTGCATTATGTCATCGCGCATCATTGTGTTATGGCACTTTATATCAACACGAACATTTAAATCAACTAGTTCATGATTATCAAGGTGAATTTTTTGGAACAGTTAATCTAACCACGATGAATCATATGTTGTATATAGTGGCTGCTCAAAAGCTCGTAAGTTATGACAAAAAAGATGGGTACGTTACTGAGGAGAATGTAAAGAAAAATTTGAACTTCCCTATCTGCTTAATCCATGGGGATAAGAATACTGTGTAAGTAAATTATTAAATTTTTTTTTATTATAGTAAATTCAACATATTCTTGTTAATTATTATATATATCATTTTTGTCCAGTTTTGATATAAAATCGTCACGAAAATCTTATGACACTTTGATCAGCTACGCACAAAACCCTGATTTTTACACGATACATGAAATAGCAGGTTATGGACATTTAGACTGTTGGTGGGGAAATGATGCATACAAAGATGTATTTCCAAAAGCATTAGATCATCTTGAAAAAACAAAAGATAATTATGGATATGCTTTGAAAGAAAATCACGATGTACAAGGGTCTCATGTAGGTATATCAGATATTAAAAAGATAATTAACGAAGAGTTACATAAATTTGGAAACGGTTCTTTACTTGGAAATGCTTAAATTTTGTACTTTAATGTATAAATATTTTATATATGTAATAATATATTAGGATTCATTTATTATTTCAATTATATATTTTATAATAATATTATGTTTATATTGTATCAGACCAATAAACACATTCATTAATATTTTATATTAGCTTATTTAAAGTTAATTACCACGTGAAAGTATAACGGAATTCATTTCTATATTTAATTTGATAAAGGAAATTACTATCAGCATTAAAGAAGTTCTTAACTGTCGGATAATTTTTTATCAAATGTGATTGGTCGAGTGCAATAACATGAGCAATTAGTGTTATATTATAGCAAAGTTTATTTTTTCGATTATAATACAAACATCGAGAAATTTGTAGTCAGTTACAATTAATCTATTATTATTGTTGCGCCTCAGATTGGTTCTTGCCTCAGGTGATAACTAAGGTATCTCAGATGTCAATCGTCAGAAGAGGTGCGTAACTTAAGAAGGCAACTGCAATTAATTTTTATTGTCGACCTTGTATTAACACTTAAATACTATAAAGGTTTTAATAAAATAACTAAAGAAAAGAATGTTTTATTTGCATACTATTAGAATATAACTTGAAATAACAAATTTAATTCGACCTTGTCAATATTGTAATCTGAAGTCGCAAAAGAAATTTTGTTCACAAATCTTCATTTACGATCAATATCAAATTTATGGTTATTTGGTTGTTGAGGTTTATTCACGCCTGACACCATGCTTCGAAAGTTATGCGTTTCTTAAATTTTAATATAATTTGACGCGCTAAATGATTATATTTTATTTGATAAAATGTAGTAGTAATGCAATAAATGAATATATGAATTTTTCGGACTGCAAGTGTTTTAAAAAAATAAACCTTATCGGTAGTGCCTGCCTCATAAGAAAACTGAGGTAACCGATTAACGAGTTACGCACCTCATCTGACGATTGACATCAGCCTTATTTATCACCTGATCTAAGGCACAACAGTATTGATACAAAAAAAATATCAAATTTCTTGAATGCTATTCACTTGAATATTTTCAATATTAGTTAATAAGGATTCCAAATTTAAAAATATGCCTCTAAACAGTGACTCATGTCGTCTTGCAGCTTTTATGCTGGAGATTTTAAAAAAAGTGGGTGAAATTTGAAACAAGGCCGAGCGAAGCGAAGAAATATAAAGTACTGTAAAAAAATTTTAACATAATAAAATAGAGACTATATTTTGAAAAGAGCCTGAGCTGGAGGTATATAAAAAGAATTTGTCAGCAACAATTATAATGTAAAAAAAAGTAGTTAGATTTAAAGAAGTCAAACAAAGTGAAGCCAGGAGCTATATAAAAAATTGTCCACATAAAAAATAATCAAAAGAAGAAATTATCAAACCCTTTAAAAAATTTTAAATTTGATTCACTAAATAAGATATCAATTTATTAACAATTGGTAAAGTCGTGACATTATCACACCTGCTATTCCAATTATTAGTTAGTTGAACTGGGCGGCGAAGCCGTAAATGCAATTTCTAGTTTAGATAATATGGATGGTCCAACCGACTAAAGTAGTAGCAAAAGAATAAATACACATCACTCTGGCTATATCGACACTCTCCGAAATTGTTTGATATATCCAAATGTCAGTGGTATTTTCATATACCAGGAACGGAGTGATATGTAATATCACGAAGTGTATGGTTAATATGGCATTTTTTAAATGTACGTCCGCAAAATCATATCTGATTGGACAAAGTGCTAAACGCAGCAAAAACGTGAATTTCTGCGCTTAAACATCTCATAGGAAGACATTCATATGATTGGTTAATTTTTGTCGATCTACCCGTGATTGCCCGTGATAATTAACCAATCAAATTACATAAATTTTTTTAATACTAGAAAACTTCGTTTAGAGAAGTTTACAAACCAATAAATTACATGCAAAGAACTTATCACATAAAGTTAGAAAACAGATAGATACGCGTAAAGT